CATAAGCAAAACGGAAGTTGGAAATTAAATGGTAATCTTTATAACATCAACAAAATACAATACACACCAGCAGCGTGAAATAGGTAAACCAATGATAGTGGTCGACCTCTTAGACAGCATATTATCTCAATTTACAATAATGTCCAAAGCATTTATGTGGATTGCCAAATACCTATTATTGTACATAGTTACAGTATAATAGAAATATAGAGAATGTGTCAGAATCGTACACTCTAGACTGTTGTAAGCTTTGGAAATCATACAAAGGTCAGTGTCAGTAAGGATGGATGATGAAATTTAATAATTGACTGAATAATAAGTTATTGAAAGAAGTAACATAAAAACTGCCTTTGCCAAGTGGAGTAACGCAACCAAATAAATAAAAATCTATGTTTTTCATTATCTATAAAATATTAAAATAGCATCATGTCAACATAAAAATTAATTATGAATTTTATTTATTTTTTTGAAGTGATTATGACTTTGCAAACGGGTGATATTGCTTTCCAGAATTCATGTTTAGACACAAATTGTATGCTGTCCTCATAAACAGGCTTCTTGACAATATTCCAAACGTACATGCAGGTTAGCAGATGATCACAGCATAAGCCAGTCGCTTATAATATTTAATATATCTAAGTATTCAGGTACGACTGAATAGTGAGTTCTATCCTCAAAAGTTGCCCCATATTCAACCTTGCGTCTCATCTAAGCTACATTAAAAAGACAATAGTATAGTGAGTCGCAACGTCACTGGGTGACCCGTAATATCGGACGTGTACCTCATCTAATCTACACTTAGAAACCGCCTGAAAACAGAGTTCACTCCTCACAGGGTGCCACACACTTCCGGCGTCGTATATACTTTTCTTCAGTTATAGATTAAATAGAGGAGTCGTCTATGGTCTTTAGAGCTGATCTGTAACCAGTATATGTGAAAGCAAATTGAATTTATACAGTGAAATATTTTTTGATAAATAGTGACACATTTAACAAATGAGATTTTCTACATATAAATTACGAAAATACTGATTGGAAGACACAAATTTTCGTCACTAAAATGAAACAAACTGTGCAGTGTGGATAGCCATTTGCTTGGTAAGTATAGAGGTTGCTAAACATTTGTGTCATGAGCGAATATATATATATATATATATATATATATATATATATATATATATATATATATATATATATATATATATATATTATACACTATTACTTCAGAATTTCTAAGTTACTCCAACAAAATTATACATTTGATATTAATGAACGGTTTTATATAAAATTACAACACTTTATAACCATCATTGTCAAATAACTGATGAGATGTTGTTTTTTAAACGACGAAACAAAATGTAGAATTCTGTAGTAATTATATACATGTTCTAATGAAACAGTGTATAATAAATATGTATTGCTCTACTCTTGTATTGATTCCTGTTTTAAATTAATGTTTTGAACATTTTGAACTTTACACCTCGTCGATTTATATTGGGATATATATATATATATATATATATATATATATATATATATATATATATATATATGTCTTCACGGCAACACCACAAGCCTAGTCTAATTCTGTTTTGTTTTTGTTTTTTCTCTAAAAAGGGGTTGTATTCTCCTTTTGAAATTAAATTAATCCTCCACTCGTACGTTAACATCGCCTGAGGAGAGACATTTGAAGTGTTGAAACATAATTGTAATTTTGTAGCAATTTAACAATTTTTTTAATATCTATAAATAAATCATAGTATATATATATATATATATATATATATATATATATATATATGTATGTATGTATGTATGTATGTACGTGTGTGTGTCCATGTGTGTGCATACGTGAGTTATAGTGTTAGAAAGTGTGTACAATGCTGGTAGTTCGATAAAGAATCGATGGAACAAAGAGTTCGGTGAAAAACAGGTTCAATCAGAAGCGAAACATGGATTAATAATGCAGTAATAGAGAATACGGCAGTTCATTGTAGCAAAGCCTAAGATTGAAGCGTATCCCCCTTGCCACCCCCTTTTGCGACGACTTTTGATATGAGCAGACCTTCTACTCATAGCGGGTCCATGTTCAACAATTTGTGTAGAGAAAGTCGGTCAACTTTCCACACAACAATTTAGTGCATATTTGGCCAATATAATTTTAAATATTTGTATGACATTCAAACAATATCACTTACCTGTTTAAATTTTAATTCTCTTTTACAGATTTTCGAATCATTTTTCGTTTTCTGGTAACTGCTTACTCCAATTTGTTCTGAGAACGTATCGCTCCAAGCAATCGTTATCCATGAATTTGAGATTAATTCCAATGCAAACGCTCCCAAAAATACCAGTATTTAGACAAAAAAAAAAAAAAAATGAAAGTTATCGAGCATATTGGTAATACTGTTAATTTTTTTAAAAAAATAAATACCGAAAAGTTCAAATAAATGCAGAATATAATATTTGTACAGTTCGTGCCCATTTTCGATCTTAATTTTCAAAATCTTCATTAAGAACTGGAAAAATACAAGAAGAAATTAAACAAACACACATCGCCAGTTGAATTTAAGAAAACTTATTTACGCACACAGAAACAAGGGGACATATACATATGGATATGCAGAATGTCAAATCTTATTCCGAAGACAGCCGCTTCCTCACCCTTCGCAAAACATGTAACACCTTTTGTTTCTTTTCGGCGTCCATTGCCCTTAAATAACTTCTCAGGCAGCATTCGATTTCATAGGAATTACGCATATATGACAGATAAATTGTGTATGATCAGGATGATTGAATCTGCATTGCCTAAAATGTTCCCGCGTATCACCACGTGCCGTTTCGGACCAGATGACTGGCAAAACTTTGCAAACAGTAATTGTATTTTTGGCAGGACGATGAGGCAGGTTGGTATAGTTGGCTTACTTCTTGTTCTTATGATAACCTTTCAGATGCTTTACACTACCTGCCACTGAAAACAGCACGCGCTAAAAAAAACACCACGTTTGTACGACTGCATATTAATTGGCAAATCTGGTGAGTGCCTCTCCGTAGACCAAACGAACACACACACATAACCACATTCATACATACATATATATATATATATATATATATATATATATATATATATATATATATATATATATATATATATATATATATCATTTTAACAGATATATTTACGTAAATTAAACAAAAAATATATACTAAAGAGATAATTTATTAACTAAAATCGACATTGGTTTCAAACACGGCCTCCAGACAACTTAGGAATATCCTGCAACACTTCTGCACGGCCTCCTTGATTAAAGTGTTGAAAGTTGTCATAATTCTTGCCTTTAGGTCATCTTTGTTCTTAAAAAGATATTTTTGTTGGTCTCTCGATTCTGCGTTCCACACATAATAATCAAGGAGCAAACACGCACAAATTTACTTTCTTGTCAGAACGATCACTGTGAATGTCCATGTTGTACCTTTGTAATCACCATTAGACATATCGAACACTTTTCGAATCATATGCACTCTCCCCATATCGACGACCAAACACTGAAATGTTCGCTCTGGAGCTTACGTTGCGAATGCCAAGCAGTACAGCATGCATTTTCCAAATTTCTGGTGGAGTGAATTGCCTCATGGTGCTCTTTTTCTCACAGGTGGTGAGCAGCTGGCCCGACTATACACTGCAGTCGACAAATTCAGATCAAACTTAAATATGCATGTGTGTAATAAAAAATATAAAACGGCGATAATTTAAGCATCGCACCCTGTATTTATACACGCTGATAGTGACAACACTTATCCATACATATATCATACATTTAAAATATATTTCCATCAAGAGTTTGCTAAATGGAAACAGTTATATGATACGAAATTCTCATACTAAGCCGATTGGTTTTTTACTGTATTTCCAAAAACTTTTATTTTGACAAGCGAGTCATGTTGACATTATTGTTTTGACATCAAAAGCTTTGCTTTATTTCTTGTCATCGCCCAGAAGTTTATTCATAAATATATAATTCATATGAATGTTCGATTAAATTATATGTTATCATATTGTGTCTTGAGTTAAAAGAGGTTTTTTTTTTGTTTTTGTTTGGAGCAATTGTCGTGTCAAATCATATATCGATTTTGAGATATAATTTATCCTATGTAAGATTTTATGATTGTTGGTGATTTATTTTCATTTGGCTTTCTTTCCGTTAAATCTCAAAAGAGAGGAAAATAAAATATACTCTCTATACTCGTTTTCAAAATTATCAAGATGTATTTAATATGATGCACATTACATATATATATAGAGAGAGAGACAGACAAAAAAAAAGAAGATTGCATAGAAAAATGCAACTGGAATCTTTAAGAATATTTATTTAGAGTAAATCATAAATATATGATTTTCATACTTGGACTGAAATGGAAGGATGTGTGGCTATAAATGGATCTGTTTCCCACGAGTCTAGAGTTGGAGAATTATATCACTTTCATACAGAAAATGAGTATCACCGATTGCTATCTGTTTAAAATACAATTTGTTTGCTTAATTAGGATCACGAGAACAGGCACATTAATTTTGCGCCCAAAATTGAGGATCATAAGTTGTTATTTGTAAATTTGGAAGTTTAGGAGCCATGATCGCCTACGTCCTGAAAAGACACGACACAACACATAAAAAGGAAAGAAGTAGAAAGTTGCTCAAAATAATTTTTGAGCCCCACAACTTCTCACTCTCTCGTTCTGTGTGTGTGTGTCTGTGTGTGTGTGTGTGTTTGCAGGGATCGCTGAATATCGCAATAATAATAATAATAATAATAATAATAATAATTCTATAGTAAAATGCATGTTACGTACATGTGTATGAGTTGATAGACCTTGCTAAATGTGCCTTGTAAGAGTTTGTTCAGCCGTTGGTTTTTATTGTTAATGAAAATATTTTAGTTATCATTTTGTGTTTGGTCAGTGCCATTTTCTGGACAAAGATAAAATGAGAACACCTGGATATGGAAAGAGTTAGTCTGTTCACATTGTGAGTACATGCGCACACACACACACACGCACATATGTATATATATATATATATATATATATATATATATATATATATATATATATATACATAGATAGATAGATTGATAGATAGATAGATAGATAGATATAACAACAACAATAATAATAAAGTTTTTTCTATATATCTAAATAATCAATTGAAACATACTGCCGTTTAAATGACGTTTCCATCTCTATTTTCGTTGTCCTCTTATTACTAAGAAGTGAAAACAAGAACAAAATCTACTTCCATACCTGATGATGTCTGTGGGAACAGACGAAAGCTTGTAAAAGATTAATCAACTGGAATTTATAAACGGGGATCATATCATTCATATACAGGTTCGGGGTTGATGCACCTTATTTATATTGTTTGCGACGAAGTATTCTCGCCATTTAAATCATTAACCTCTGTATTTGGTTTTTGTATGAATGATTCATGAATATATATATATATATATATACATATATATATATATATATATATATATATATATATCTTATATATATATGATATATATATATATATTATATAATAATAATAATAATAATAATAATAATAATAATAAAGAGCTTTTCTTTATATATAAATAATCTATTGAAACATACTGCCGTTTAATTGACGTTTATTTATTAAAACTAGAAAGACCCATTACAATTTCACGCTTTTCTCATTTGGATTTCCGATCAATCGTTATTAAGCTAATGCTTGTTTCCCGCAGTAGAATAATGATAGAAATAGACTTATTGGAACCTTAATTAGTTTGGCAGAACTTTTCCAGTTCAGTACAGTTTGCAATGGGTAAATAGTTGCCATATATTTTGTAGTTCGCGCATGTGTTTTGTTTTTTTTGATTTTGCTGACTGCATATTGTAGTAGGTTCAGTTCGGCACTGTCTTTGAGAAAAACACGCAATTCACTCCGCCAGAAATTTCGAAGCGGCATGCTATGCTGCTTGGTATACACGCCGGAAGATCCAATACGGACATTTCATGTGTGTTGGGTGTCAATCTGAATGTATTTCAGTAATAATCATAAGTTTGAATGCAGGACATTATTTAATGACGCTACAGGAAACTATCAACAATTGATAAGGTTTTCTATTTCACTGAAGCCGACTTATTTAGCACTTCCTCTATCTTGCACTTCTTTCTTCCAGGTCTTTATTTTTTCTCTTTCTTCATTTTTTTTCTTCATTTCCTTCGTCCTCTTTCTTACTTTGTACTCAATTTCATCGCTCTCTTTCTTCATTGTTTCTTAAATTTCTTCCTTGTTTCTTCAATTTCTTCCTTCTCTTTCTTCCATGTTTCTTTCATGACTTCCTTCACGTTCTTCAATTTTTTTTTTCTTCCTCTTTTATTTCATTTATTCCTTCGCTTTCTTCATATTTTCCTGATTTTCTTCCTTCTCTATCTTCTATTTTCCATTTATTCGTTCTCTTTCTTCGTTGTTTCTTCCATTTCCCCCTTCTCATTTTTCTTCCCCCCCCCCATTTCTCCCATCGCTTTCTTCCTTTTTTTTCCATTTCTTCTTTCTCTCTTCCTCATTTGGTTCTATTTATTCAGTCTCTTTATTCCGATTTCCTTTTCTCATTCCTTCACTTTTTCTTGTTTTCTTCTGTTTCTTTCTCCTCTTTCTTCCGTTTTTCTTCCAATCTCTTTTTGTCTTCCATTTCTTTTTTCGATATTTTTTCCATTTTTCTTACGTTTTTTTTTCCATTTCTTTTTTCTTTATCTTTTTCTTATTCTTATTTTCTTTATTCCTATTACATAATCAAACAACATCTTTAAATTATTTTCATTTCGTTGCAATCAAAAAACAATAGTACATTATTCATCATAGTTCATGTCAGCGTACAAGAGACAAGTAACTAATTGGGGAACAAGCAAATATGATATGAAACTGACTTTTCTACAATGGCTGCCGTAAAAATTAGAGATATTTATATGCAAACCATTAGCGTGACTGATGATTCACATACAGCACAAACATAAAAATTGAATGAGGTTGTAGGATCCTCATACATCAAAATCGATAAACCAGCCCAATATATATATATATATATATATATATAAATACTTGTGCGTGTGTGTGTTTGTTGTGTGTTGACATGTGTCTTAGCAATTAAAAGCATATTCTTACGGCCATGAGACAGACATTTTGCCAAGTGACTTCCTGATAAGATTGTATCGGGAAGATGATTCGATTGTGCTGCAATAATGGAAGGTGCCTGAAAACTTCATCAGGATTTCACCCAAGCCGTGTAAGTCAAAGTTGGTTTGAGATACTCTTTGGAACCCGCCGATTTTTGTGTTCGGCGGAAGTCACAGATCATTGTGACCAGGGTCACGTGTATACTATCCTTCACGACTAAAATATTTAGAATCACCGATCGTTCAGTATAAGTTCAATATAATCACGATTCCTTTCTACATTTCTCTGGAAGAAACATGACTAAAAGCATATAGCAAGCCGTGGTATTACAATACATATTTTTCTGAGGCTGAGCGATGCTTACTTATTACTTTATACATTGTGAAAAACAAACTGGAATTCTCTGGGTTGATTAGCAAACTCGTTTTGTATATTAATTCCCTTCTGTAGTAAATTCGAACCTGAAGCTTGCTACATTTTTTTTTATCCAACTTAGCTGATCTTTAAAATATTCATATAGAGATACGAGTTTTTTCTGTTTCTGAAAAAGCAAGATTAGTTATAAAGGTAGGTATTGCCATTCATATTTACGAATGTATCCCAAGATATAGCATGTGTTAATTCACATTAGGGAAATTTAATATACATCTGTCAGCGACACGTTTCTTCAAAATTAATTTTTTGTTCATGAAAATGTACGCCTCTTCAGATATAGAAGGATAATTTAGGTTTCCTCATTATTATACATTCTATTTTTTCATGTTAAGGATTGTTAAGTGCATGGCGCTGAGGTCGACATCAACAGCATGTCTATTCTAGATGTTTTTGTTTAGGTATCACATGGAAGATTAATTCCAGAAGCAATTAGTAATAAGAGATATGACAAAAAATGGGTAGCATTATAAAATGATGTATTAAAGATTAAATGTAATATTCTGTGTATTTCAGTTCTTGAATATTGAAATTATCAGAACGTTACCGAACACAAAAGAAACGTTAACAAAATCAAAACGGTTAACATGCAGTATATATATATATATATGTGTGTGTGTGTGTGTGTGTGTGTGTGTATGTATATATATATATATATATATATATATATATATATATATATATATATATATATATAAAAGACATTTTTATGTTTAACATTCTTTTTATAGATACAACTATTTAAGTAAATGCTCTGTTTATAATAAACAGTATTAAATAACATTTACCGGCCAGAATGTCCGAGAAATGTCATAGAAAATATTCGTCCTTTAACAGGATTCGAACCTGCATCCTATTCTCGGACATTCAGGCCCCGGTAAATGTTATTTAATACTGTTTATTATAAATAGAGCATTTACTTAAATACTTGTATCTATAAAAAAGAATGTTAAACATAAAATGTCTTTAATAAATTGTCGGACTTTGCCCTATATATATATATATATATATATATATATATATATATATATATATATATATATATATATATATATATATATATATATATATATATATTAGGATCGGTACCCTATATTTATTTGATTAACAAGCAATGAAAATGAAATACAGTCATACTATTAATAGATGGCTCAATATATCTTGGGTGATCTTCATAGTATCAAAACTTTGAAAGCAAACAATAAAAATGAAGACTTTTATGTGATAATCGGAAGAATTTGAAGTAAGTTTATATTTTCTATAAGGAGAACATTATATGACTATAAAAAATATGGTAAATGACTTTTTTCTGACTTTCAAATTGCAAAATTTAAAGTTGGTACAAAAGGCTATATTTGCTGATAAGTCCGGTATATTATGTTTTGAATACCGAAGCGTTAGGAATGAATCTTAGCAGCGTCTAGCAAATACTGTAATCGCTGTAAACACTTTCACTGGTCGTAGAAAATATTAATAGGTAGAAGGAAAGTGTCGGTTACAAAATTCGTACTTTTTATTACTAATTGCTTTGTATATTGATTTTGAGTTATTATTGCCATTGCCACAAGAATACTTCACAAATGGAATGCGGCGTAAAGCTAATATAATGAACAAAGCCAAATTTTATTTTCAGTTACTAGTCTTTCCTTCATTTCCTTCATCGTCCTTTTTCGTCTTGTTGGCAAAATAAAAATAAATAAAAACGTCGATGATATGCAATATTTTGATGACTTCTTTACGAAGTACAAGAGACTCATGACGATGATGATGGGCAAAGTTCAACTTAATTTGGTAAAAGTGCGTAATATTAATGATATCGATTGATTGTATGACCGCGGAAGAAAATGCATTCGCATTTAAAGGAGCATCTCGTTATATCCCCTGGCGATAATTCAGTAAGCAATTTGAAATCAGTCTGAAAGACAACAATCTCATTCACCTTAAAGCAATTGGATTCACTATTGCACTCATGGTTATCGTACAGGGGTATATCATTCTGCATATATATATATATGCACACTTTAACACCCCTATACCGAAGACAACATAGAACATGGGCTAGTCATTATCATCATCCGAACATCTCTGTCCACATTCGTCGGGGTAGAGTGGGGACATGCGAGGTCAAAAGAAACAGACGTTTATTCCTTCTCATGATATATTCTGTGGGAATTCAGATCTCTCGCGTACTTCTCCTCTCTTGAAGTCAATGAACATTGATTATGATATGCGCCGCCTTCGGCCAGGCTTTGAATTCCAATTGTCCTTCTAGTTCGGTTACCAACCAACGCTATACGGCCCAGTCTACCCTGCTATTTACCCACATGAGAAGGGATAAGTGATAGATTCAAATATATACTAGGTGTATTAGCATGTAACTTAATGTAATTAACTCGGTTGAATTTGAATACCGGCTTGTAAAATCTCTAATTCCAATCTAATGTTATCTCAACGGGAATCATGTTGAGACGAGTAGTCAGTATTTGATCTTTGACCACGTATTTAGTTTTCAGCAGTTAACTGTGAAGGTTAAGAGTCATTGCAAAATAGTGGATGTATGTCACATTGCATCGCCTAAAGCTGTCATTGACGAGCGAACTCTATGTAAGAACACTTTGTGGCTGTTGGCTCCCTGTCATTGATACTGCCATCCAAAACTGTAGAACTTGATTCGTCCTGCTCTTTACCCATAGTTGGCGGGGGTGACGAAGAAGAAGTGGAGATCTATATCTTCCGAAAGATATTAGCACGTAAGTGAATATAATAAATTTGGATTGAATTAGAAGTCGTCTCTACCGATTCCTCAATCACAAGACGCCATCCATTATTCCACAACATTTGGCAATGCTTTGAGTTGGTTATATTTTTTTTTTATTATTACATGAATCATTCTTTCATTATCATATACGTATTTCAAGCGAAATCATATTAATGGTAAAGGTGAGATTGGCCGTTTCTATGAGGAACTTCGGTAGCCAATGCCTGAACATGTAGCGGCTATAGGTTTAAATTAATCAAATAATCGTCTTTAAAAGAGTTTTCAGAAAACTAGTCGGCATACTGATTTTATCGCATCTTTTCTCGTGTTGATGGAGTTTTCTTTCCAATCTTTTGCTTTATATCAAAGGAAAAATCATCTGATTATTTTAATTATTTTCTCTCTATATAATATGTTATCCGTTTTACTTGCTACATCTGTTGAAATTTTAAAGTTGTGAATTTCTCTTCTATTTGGTTATTTATTTGTGATACTTAGTCTGTCAATGAATTCAATTAAGATACCTCTTCATCACGTGTGTTTATTCCTTGTGTCATTTGTTATTCATCGATTCAGGAAACTGTTTATATAAACACTTCTAAGCGAGTTGGACGGCATGATAGGGATTAGATTTAATGAGTTTAGATCTGCGGGAGTTTAGACTTCCAATGATTTTAAAGGTTCAGTTTCGGTTGTACAAAACTCGCTAACGCAGCTTAATTAATGCATAATTTTAGCTTTTATTCTGTAGGAGTTTTATACTGGTCCATAATAAGCCGTGTTTGGATTTGTTTACATTTTAGTCCACGTTTGAGTCGTTATCCTGATCCAGATCAAGAAGCACCAGTGCTTTCATTCCATTTATATGCTTTCTTTTTACGTCCTTTATGTGTATCTCCAATGTAAAGATCATTCATATAATTATGGGTCAAAAGGCTCAATATCAAAGATCGTTTCACATTAAAACAAGACATTCGCCTGAATCTTGTTCGATGTTCTCTCATATATATATATATACATATATATAAATTAGAAAATAACTAATAACGTCGAAGAAAAATCAAATATGAAAGACATATTTTCTATATATTTTTTTATTTTTAATAATTATTGTTTTTATTTTATTTTATTATTATTATCATTATCATTTTTATTATTAGTTATTATATATCCTTTTTTATATATAGATATTTATGTGTACATTTATAGGTTTTTTAATTATAGATTTTTTGAGACGAAAATAAAAATAAATTAAACAAATAAATAATGTACATAAAATTATACAGACAGAAAAAACGATTCAATTTCAATAAATATATTAACTCCTCAATGATCTTGTAAATTTGTTATTTTATATGGTGGTGTTAACATATTTCATTATTTACCTGATCATGCAGCTGCCTACATTAGATTTAGAGTATTTTTTATTAGCTTTAATAATATAAT